AATCCTTCGGCTGTTTATCATTCGTTTTTATTTTTTTTATGTTTTACATTTTTTTTTTTTTTTTTCTTCCCGGTCCATGGGTGCTACCAAGCGTTTTATGAACTGTCGAGCAGTGTTAACCGACACATATTTGTTTTTCAAGCAGGGAAACGTACTGGTGGCTTAACCCACCAGTACCTCGCCTAACTAATTTTTTTCGATGCGGCCGTTAACACGTCGTATCAGATGAAGGTTGTTGGTATAAGGGTCGGTCGCAGCAAAAATATAAAAAAAAAAATAATAATTTTTCTTTGATGAAGTCAAGGAATGTAGGTTTAGATACAATGGTCTCACAACTGCCTTGAAATATCATCATTTAACTAAGTCGCCCTAGGTAATTGAGAGTCGCGACACTTAACTCCATTGCAGGACACAGACGGTTATCGGGTAGCTGAAAATTCAGTAATGAAAATTTTGAAGTGAGAGTTTTTGGCAGTCTGGAAATTTTGAATGGTCCTGAAGTGGTGAAAAGTCCAAAGACCCTGAAAACCACCTGTTTATGCATCCTGAAGAGGTAAAGGGTGTCTTGAAATGGTAAAGTGAGAGTTTTTGGCAGTCTGAAAATCATGAATGGTCATAAAGTGGTGAAAGGTCCGAAGACCATGAAAACCACCCTTCACCACTTAAGGATGCACCCTGCCTAAACAGGTGGTTTTCAGGGTCTTCGGACCTTTCACCACTTCAGGACCATTCAGGATTTTCATACATGAATGGTCCTGAAGTGGTGAAAGGTCCGAAGACCCTGAAAACCACCTGTTTAGGCAATGCTGCATCCTAAAGTGGTGAAGGGTGTCATGAAGTGGTGAAAGGTCCGAAGACCTTGAAAACCACATGTTAAGGCAGGCTGCATCCTGAAGTGGTGAAGGGTGTCCTGAAGCGGTGATGAAAAATACGACTGTTGTTAACCTTCTCTCTTGCAGAAAAAAAGTGAGAGAGTGAGAGAGGAAAAAAAATAAATAAATAAAAAAAATAAAAATAAAAAAATGATGATATAGGTCAAATGCAATTTTTTAATTTTATTTTTTTGGGGGGGGGCGGGGGGACGGGACCCCACCCCACCCCCCCGGTGTGGTGAGAGGCAC